AAAATCATTATTCTTATATAGGAAAAAATATTATTAATAACGCTTTTGGGAAAAGAAAAGAATCGTAGAGTCTACTGGATGTAATAAATTATTAACAAAAAATAAAGCGTTATCTTTGTAACTTCTTAATCGTATTAATTTTGCGTGTAAAAAATTTCGATTTGTAAAACCTACATTATTAATACATTACTCACAAAGTTGTGTATTTTTTTAAATACTCATTATTATGTAACTAGCGATACTACATAGCGAGGTTTAATAAAAAAATACACGGAATTTTCGTTTTTCTTAAAAATCTTTATTCATCGATATTAATTTTGTCCCCTTTAAAGTACTCCCCATCAGATATAATATATTTGTGCCAGCGCTTTTTCCAATCTTCGAAGCACTTCTGGAACGCGGTATGGCGTTTAGCTTCCTTCAACGATTCTGTCTTTATTTCTTCAATGTTAGCAAAACATCGTCCTTTCATGATTCTTTTCAACTTCGGGATTAGGAAGAAGTCACAGGGGACTATGTCCAGCGAATACGGAGGCATCATAACGGTGTTGTTTTTTGCCACAAATTCATAAACAAGCAGTGAAGTGTGAGCAGGTGCATTATCGTAGTGCAATTGCCATGAATTGTTTCGCCACAAATCCAGGCGTTTTCTTCGGATTGCTTCACGCAAACGGCGTAAAATCTTTCCAGATAGTACTCCTTATTGTACGACCTGGTAGCAAGAACTCATGATACACTACGCCGTTGAAATCGAAGAACACAGTGGGCAGAACTTTCGATCGAACTTGACGAGCTTTTTTCGGTCTTGGCTCTTCAAGAAGCTTCCATTGAGACGATTGGGCCTTAGTTTCGACATCATACCCATACACCCATGTTTCATCACCAGTTATGATCCGTTTGAGCAGTTCTGGATTGTCGTGAACTTCATTTAGCAACTCCTGAGCAACGTTCATTCAGCACTGCTTTTGGTCGAAATTCAATAATTTCGGAACAAATTTTGCTACACGTTTCATGTCCAAAACATCCGAAAAAATTGCTTGGCATGAGCCAAATGATATGTCAACATCATTAGCAACCTTTCTGATTCGGCAATTGTCAATAATTATTTTCTTCACTTTTTCGATGTTGTCATCGGTTGTTGATGTGCTGGGGCGTCCAGGGCGCTCGTCATCTTCAACATCTTCACAGCCCTCTTGGAAATGTTTGTATTACTTATAAACGCTTGTTTTATTCATAGAAGATTCAACATTTTCAATGCGGTGCTGCACTTTATTCCATTCTTAAAGCAAAATTTAATGGAACAAATTCTTTGTTCCATTTTTTCCACAAGTTAAAAATCGCCGAGCATACCAAAACGCGTGTAACTTTTTCGACCAACAATAATAAAGTAAGCATCTAATATGACTACCAATGTCAAAATATGTCAGGGACAAGTATACCAACACAACAAAAAAAATTGTGACAATTGGACGTATACAACCCGCGAAATTAAACAATTCCACGTATTTTTTTATCAAACCTCGTAAAATGCTATTTTCTATATAATTTAATTTTTCTACTTTTTGAGATACGTATGACATATTAACATTTGACTGAGTAGAAAATTCCGAGAATAATTTACAATCCTGAAAATGATTATAATGCTTTGAAGATTTATGTTTGGCAATTACATTCAAAAAACCTTGTAGAATATATAATTTTTCCTTGCCTTTTTCTTTTTATAATAAAAATAAAAGAAGACAAAAACATACTCAACGATCGCTAGATGCTATGATCGATGTCATATGATCGATGTCATATTAATACATCATTAGAGAAAAAATAGCGGACCATTCAAAATATTTCAAAATCGAGATATTGAAAAGATATGTGATGGCCAGATTCTTATTAAAGGGTTTCTATTCGGAGTTTGTCTGTCACCTGTCACTCCGGCCGATCCTTAATAGAAATATTTCTTATTTTATCTCTAAAATAAAATATAGAATACCATACACAATAGAAGATTTCAGAAAACTTTCAGATGGTTGACATGTTTTTGAAAGGTATCTGAAAACTTTTTGAAACTTTTTGTGCCGTATAACAAAAATTTCAGAGATATATTTCATTATATTGAAATATTTCATTATAACATTTCAATATTTCATTATATTGAAATATGATTATTAAAAACAACTTTCTAATAGAGAATTCAATTCTTCATTGGAAAGCTATTTTCTTATTAGACATCGTGTGTCATACTCGTATATCGCTGTGCATATTTGTTCATACAGCATGATTAGAAACTTTCAAAAAGCTTTTAGCTGTATGAATTTAAATATTTTTGAAAGCTTTCTGAAACCTTCTATGCTATATACGTATATTATTTTAGGATTATTTTGTATGAAATATACAGGATGATTAGGAAATATTTCTGGATCTTTGAAAAGACATAATCCTGATTAGATTCTGAGACGACATTTTTTTTTACAAAACTTTGCTCAAAGACTAATTTTTGAATTATAATAAGAAATAGTTTTCTTATCACAGGACGGATATAGGAGCTAAGTAGTGGCCGCATAACTCACCGTCAGGTAACAATTGACAAACGTCTCATATTTAAGCGACTATATGTTTGAAGAAAAGTTATACCGTTTATCTTGTATTCGTCCTGTGATAACAAGATTATTTCTTTTATAATTAAAAAACTAGATTTTAGGCAAAATTTTATAAGACGAAAAAATATTTTAGAATATAATCAAAATCATGTCTTTTCAAAGATCCAGAGTTGTTTCCTGTTAATTAACCTGTATATTTCACAGAAACTTAACAGAAATAATATACCCACAAAGCACAAAAAGTTTCAAAAAATATTCAGAAAACTTTCAAAAAGCGGACATAACGTAAATGTGAAATATGCTTGAAATATTTTTTTGAAAGGTTTCAATTTTCATTGAAAAATTTCTGCAGATCTTCGACATTGTGTGAGAAAATTATAACTGAAATATTTCCGACACATTTCAAAGATTTCTTATTGAAATATTTCATAAATATTTCTGAAATTATATCAAAAGACATATTATGTATTTGAAACATGTATGAAACATATCTAAAATATTTTTTTTAAGTTTTATATTTTATTAACAATTTTCTGAAAGCTTTCCGAAATTTTCCGATGCTGTGTGGGATGCATACATATGCGTTTCGTAGAAATATTTTTGTTCGGCATTATAAAATTCATTTTATTAACTTTTTCTGATTATTTTATAACATTAATTAAATTTTATTTAGTATTTTAATTATGATGTAATATAAAAAAATAATTGATATATTTAATATTTTGTTAATAACTGTTAATAATTTTCTCATAAAGCCTCCAATGTGTGTTTATTAAGCTTTCTCAAAATTGTATAAAACATCTATAATTGATCCATATAATCTCCATGAAACATCTACATGGAGGTCTAATAGAAGTTTAATGGAGGTTAAAAACGCGGAACTATTGATTTTTAATAGACGTCTAATGGAGGTTTCGTGGTTCCAATGGAAGTTATAAACCTCCATGGTGGACCTCTAATGGATGTCCATTGGAGGTTTTGCTTCGTGTGGATAGTATCTCATCCGTGTTTCCAGTTATTAGATTTTTAAAAGACACTGCAGTTTCTACTTTAACAGTAGATTCGGAAGACAGTAGCGCTAAATTGATTAATAATATTCAGCAACAACAATCACAACACATATAAAAGAAAACGAAGAAAGTTCAGCAAACTCGGCATAATAATCATAATAGAATAAAATTTATAAACGAAATATCAAATTTTCATGAACAAATGCAATATAAAAGACTTATTACATAAATATTTATTAACATAAATATTTACTTACGAAGTGCTACACAAATAGATCTACAAGAACAATTGATTGATCAACAGTAACAAATTGAAAATTTCAAAATACAGAATATAAAGATATAAATGAGCAAAAAGAACAATTGTTACAAATACAACGAAAATCAAGCTGAACTACAAAATCATGAAACACGATTGCAACAATTAGAAAAACAAATTGAAAATCTTATGGAAACTCCAAAGAATATCACAAAAAGAAGACCAGATTTACAAAATCTAAGTCGTAAAATTAATCTTACTCCTATAACCAGAAGATTGTATAATACAAATGTTAAATTGAGACGTGACAAGAGAAATTTAAAACATCTTATAAAATGTTGTAAAGAACAAAACAAAATAAGAGCAATATCTTTAACAGGTATTAGACAGAAAAAGAATGCAATAATTTCGACAACTATTGTGTGAGAAAGATTCATTAATATGATATTAATATGATATTAAGAAATAACGATGTTCCTCATCAAGTATTTGTTAGTAATTTCTGTTAAAAGAATATATCAGTATTTATATAAAAATATATATTTCTAGATACGTTTATCCATAAAAAGAACTAAAATATGAATATATTTTACATATATTATAATTTTTCTGAAAATAGATTTATATGGATAAATATATACGCATATGCATATACAGTGGCGTGCAAAAATCTCCGGTCAATGATATTTTGTACTATATTTATAATAAAAAAGCCTAATAAAATTTTAATAAATATTTATATAAAGATAAATAATATTTTTTCACATTATTTTGTTACTTATATCTTATACTTGATTAAAATTTTATTAGACGTTTTTTAAATAAATTAGAGTATAAATATCATTGGCCGAAGATTTTTGCATGCTGTTACATATATACATTTTTATATTATATATATATATATATATAATAAATATATATAAATATTATATGTATATTACATGTATGCGTATTATTTTTTATATTATTTTTTGAGACACTATTTAAATTTTTTTAGTTATGTGTAGGCGCGGCGATATACTCTTGAAGATAAACTATTTTATCTCGGCATATTCAAAAGATTTTGTTCGTCTTATAACTTTCTCTCCAAATATTTATTATGTCCATCTATTACAATCTTAAATTCGCAACTAGCAAATATTCCGTTAGAAACTGGATGCATAATTGGATACGCTTAATAGTAAAATATAAAGCGGATAGCGCAAGACATTAAAGATCATAGAGAAAAATATGTTGCTCTTATTTGGAACGAAATGTCTTAGCAACCTTCTTTATCATACGATAAAATAAAAGACAAAATTATTGGGGATTTTGAGGATTGGGGAACGAAAAGAACACGAAAAATTGCAGATCTTGCAATAACTTTTTATCTAAAAAATTTACAATCAGGAAATAGAATGCCCGTAGGATATGGATTTTGTCATAACAACACGAAAACATTTCAACTAACAAGATGTATCAAGGAATGGCTGTTAAATATAATATAATTGCGTCAGATCTCATACCTATTGCCACAATATGTGATCAAAGTAGTCCAAATGTTGCTGCAATATATAATTTAGTTAACGAAAGTAACCAGATTTGCATAATGAAGAACATACGAACAGGTAAATTTATGAAACATTTAAATAATAAAAATAAACTTTTTTATTTCTTTATTTGAAAATAATAAAAAATACATTTTAGAAAACTTTGTAATAAAAAATATAGACATAATACCTATTTTTTATTATGTCCATTTATTAAAAGGAGTAAGAAATAATCTTTTGATTAAAGATTTGGACAAATATAACAAGGAAAAATATGCTTGAGATCATATTGTAACAAAATTGATAAAGAATCTCTAATGAAGAAATGTCAAATGCCAAAACTAACAAATATGTTATTCCGAAACTTATACCAAAAATGAAAGTGTGGTATGCAACCCAAATTTTGAGTAAAACAGTCGCAAATTTTAGATGTTATTTTAAACTTAAGTGGAGGTAAGACTATACAAAATTTGTAATGTATTTATGAGATAATGACAAATTTTATTATGTAAACATTTTTGATTATTTAATAAAAAATTGAATGTTACAGGAATTGTGTAAATACAACAAAGACAAATAGAACTGCTAAGAAATGCTACAATAACTTCTGATGTTATATCATTTTTTAATGATTTATTTGATTTTTTTAATGGTAAAAGAGGACAAGGATTAAGCAACATAATTTCTTCTACTAGTGGAGAGAGTAAAGAATTTTGAAAAGAAGTACGTAATTCCCCCTTATCGCTAATCTCACTGTCCCCTTGCCCTAACTGGCAGTATATGCTCCGTTCATATATTCTTAGATCCATGACTGGTACAAATTAATACACGGAAGTTTGAACGCCCCTGGGTTATATCATGAAAGTTTTTCCAAGAGATTCTAAACGTCGAGTTTTATATAGTTGGAAAATGTAAAGAAATAAATGTGAATCATATATTAACTTGTAACGATTTGTTTTTAAAATTGTAAAAAGATACATCATTTTTAGGTTAAGAATTTTTTATAAAAAAGATAAAAACAATAATGTCAGTACACATAAAATATATGATGGTGAATCTATCTATGGCAATGCATTTTGCATTTAAATAATATTTTTGTAATAAAATCTTTAGATTTTTGAAGGAACAAACTTTAAGAATGTCTATAAGAAATTCTTATTTTTTTTTTTTATTAACTTTTCATTTTCAAGATTATTTCATTATTATTTTATATTAATTTTATATTTTTGTTTATTTCCTTATTTAAATTTTATTTTATATTGCAATAAAAAGTTTGTTTATAATAATAATAAATATGTAAATAATAAATGTAAATAAGTAATGTTAATATTTTAATTACTGCGAGAATATAAAATGATATTAACTAATAATTATTTTAATAAAGAGAATTATTTTTCTTTTATGTTTTGTTTCATTTATTTTACTTTATTTGTATTATTTTACTTAATTATAAATAAATATATCATAATTAAAATTAAAATAAACAATAAATAATTATAATAAATTTAAAATTGTTAAAATTAAAAAAATGTATTAATAAATTGGTAATATAATTATGTAAAATAAAGTTTTATAAATATACACATTTTACTACCTTTAAAACACTTATTTTTTTAAATTATAATTTTACAATTTAAGATTAATGTAGTTAATGTAGTTAATGTAGTTAATGATTTGAAAATAAGTGAGAATAGCTAAAAGATGGCGGACCAATCAAAAGTGATTTTTTCATGGCCAGTCTCTGATTGTAGCGTCTCTATCTGGCTGACCCTTAACTATAAGGAACAAACTTCTATATACATCGTGTTCGTGTATCCATTTATGTGTGGCACATAACTGTCGAACCATTGTCAAAATCAGCTGTCAAATATTAGAAGGATCAACGACGCAACAATTCGATGACGCGTTAGCTGTGAAATGAAGCGTATGAAGTGAAAAATTTCTATTTTTTATCTTAAGTCACGAGCGTTGCGACGCTCGACTGCAGTATTCGACTTCGTGCAAACTGCTTATTAAATATATGGTGTACAGGCGTATAGTAATCTATGAATTTAGGCGTATTCAACAGAGTTAATCTTAAGGTGCTTATATCTGACAAATCATATCCTCCGTTCGATTAATTATGTCTACTTTTAATTATAAGAATATAAAATAGGTAATTTAAATATTAATATATTATACCATTGGGCAGAATTTTAAATAAATTTTACATCTATTAAGTAAACATCTATTAAATTTATTAGGTAAACTTAAAAGTTAAGAAGATTAATAGGTGTTTAAAATCCTACCTGACCATATGATACTTGAATTATTTATTTCTTATTAAATATATTAATCTAAATATATTTGTTTATGATAATACATGTTTCCATCTCAAATTATTTATGATTGACTTTTATGCTCAGTCTTACATTCATTTGTTTCAACGTAGATAAATTTTAATCTTATTTTAATTTATTCTTTATCCTTTTCTAATTCTTAAAATCTATGTTGGTAAAAATGGATATTAGTCTTCTTGTATATATATGTTTGTCATGTTTTTCATTTTTGTTGCAAAAAAATGAGAGAGATAGCTCAATGGTTCTATATGTTTTTAGGATTCCCAAGGAGGAATGTATTCAGAATGGGCCTCACTGAGCACTCTGATCCAGCAAGGTTCAGAGGAAAGCCAGAGTGTACTTGAAAAATTTCCACCTGGTGCAGGAAAAGAAGTTGCACTGTCATTGGTCCGTCAACTTGCTGCAAATCTTGGTATTACTCAGACAGGAGAACCTAGTCCACTCTCCACTGACAGAGAAGTTCAATGGTGCATGGAAGTGATATGCTTTGGCTTGTCGTTGCCGCTGGCCGAGCATGACACGGTCAGAGATTGTGTAAATATATATTGCGAATGGTTGTCTGCTCTATATTCAACACCAAAGATTTCTGTACCCAGACCAATTGTGGACGATCCAAACTTCTATGCCAGAAAGATTATAAGTCATTTTCACAATCTGTTTGTTCCAAGAAAAGGAGAAGGTAAATAAAATATAGTTTTATTTATCTATCAAATTTGTTCTATCTTTTTGATCAGATTTATTTTTTTCTTAAAGTCTGGCCTTTTCTCTATCAGGATCTAGGTAATCCATGACATATATCAAATGTACCTTTGTTTTAACATTAATGTTAATTTGCAAATTGTCAATATTATTTTGTCAATCTTATTGTGATATTTTTTTGACAATATTTCTAGGTACAGACACAATAAATCGGCAAGCTGTCTTGTGTCATCGGGTACTTAGAACTTTGCAGCAAATTGCAAGAGGTCCAGCAACACTGGAAAGAGAAACTTGGAAAAGTCTGTTATTATTCCTCATTGGAATTAATGACGCATTATTAGCACCTCCGGCAACTAGAGAAGATGCAGGAGAACAATTGTGCGAGAGAGTGCTCGGTGTATTGCTAGAAGTATAAATACAACAATAATGAATCAATTAATGATAAGATCATTTGTAAATTTGTAGAACGATATTTTTTCCAGGTCTGGCTAGTTTCTTGTGAACGTAGTTTTCCTTCACCTCCACTATGGCGAACGTTACGAGAATCCTGCCTGCGATGGCGTCACAGGCTGGCTTTAGTGGAGCAGTGGAATCGCGTGTGTCTCGCTCTTACAGCAAGGCTGCTACACATCATGTACGGGCCAATGTTTCCCGAATTGAAAATAAGTATGTGGATCATATGCATTAATAATTTACATAATAATTGTGATATTACGATAAATATGTTAATAGGCGAGGAGGATACGCAGCTGGTACCACCCTCTATGTCAGACGAAGCAGTAGCACAGGCATGGTACAGACTGTTGCGTACTATTGGCGATCCTGTGGATTTGTGTAGACCCGCCGTTGTTTCACAGACACAAGCGTTTTTGCAGTACGCTATTGCCAGTCCTAACGTCATAGATCCATGTCAGCATCCATGTTTGCAAAGTTTACCGCAAATATTTTTGAAAGCTATAAAAGGCATAGCTGGTCAGGTCGACGCTTTCCTCGGTAAGTTGATTAAATCTGATCGAAGATTAAGTCCGTGATTTATGCAGAAGACTACAAAGTTATAAGTTATCACAGTAGCAAAGTGGCATCAAATGTATAGTTTCCTGAAATTTTCCTTATCTACTCGCACACCTCTCGGCTTCTTCACTTGTACCTGGTGGCGGTCGCACATTGTCACGAATGTTTTAGGAGTTTCACAGGCATGCTGCTGGGAGGAATGTTGTATGTCCAACGTCATATCAGGGAATAGCGGCACCAGTGGCGGGGGTGTTGGATGGGATAGGTCGAACAGTAGAGATCAACCTCAACCTTCCCCCACACCCCCAACTCAGCGCAGACTTGCCAAAAGTTTCAGTGTCACTCCTTCTGCAGTCACTAAGGGTATCTCAATGCAATACTTTCTTTCTCTGATACTTTCATACTGTGGCTGACCAGTCAGTTGTGTCTTTATCAAGATCTAAAATCACAGTACAGAGTTTCTGTATAGCACTCGTTTTGTATCATAACGTTTCCTCCTTATATTGTATTCTATATTTTATTCCACATTATTGAAGTTTGTTTTAATTATAAGATATTGTTATTAGAGTCTTCAATGAAAGTGAATTATATTTCATTTATTCTTCCGTTGCAAAATATTTTATAAAAAGAAATATTTTACAGGAATTCCGAAAGCATCGTTAATTGGATTAACGACAAGCCGTGTATCTAGTACACCGCCGTTGCTAATATCAAATTCCGGGCCATCGTCCGCTTCTAGTACCGCATGTAATATCATTTTTGTGAGTGCACAATTATATAGCAAAAAATATTTCCGTGTAATCACAATTTATGTGACTTACAGCTATGACTTCACTTGGCCAGGATATCAGACCTCCTTTAGCTCCAGGACGACCCAAATGTAATAGTATATTGCACCTCTTTGGAGAATGGTTATTCGAGGCTGCGTTTATGGTACCGAAGGTTGGTCGCAAAATTTACCGCGTAAGTATTGCTATTGTGTGTGTATATATATATATATATATATATATATATATATATAATAAAAGAAAATACAGTTTTATATAGGACTATATGAAATTTTAATTATGGTGTAGAACCATCAGGTGCCTCAAAACGTCCGTCTTCAGTACTCGTGGATGGACCGAGTTCGTTGCAAGAGACTATGAGTGATGTACCGCCAACACTGTGCATTGATCGTTACGAGTCCGGCAGAGCGGAGGCTTTAGGCGCTCTGTGCAGAATTTCTGCGCCAAAAAACAGGCGAGGAGATTTTACCTGTATACCTGGCCAGATTTTACCAGGCGATGTATCATGGTCTTAAAGTCGACGAGGTATTGGTTCTAGTTTTTCCGTGGATAGATTTAAGGAAAACAAATGTAACAGATTGATTTGTTTTCAGTCTCGTGAATGTGGCGAAACATTAGCGAGTATTCTATTGAATTCGGCTGATTTGTTTCGCCTCGATTTGAATGGTATTCAGGTCTTAGTGCCAGCTGTGTTATCCGCCCTGGAAGTGGTCTTACCGGAAAAAGATTTGAAACTAAAATCTAATATAGTATCCAAACCGGATTTGAGAAGAGCTTCAATACATTTGCTCATATCGATGTTAGCGCTGCCTTTACACTTTCAGGTAAACATTTAGGTGAAAATGGAATCTTTTCTAAACAACGTTTAAGTAAAAGTAAAATTAAGTAACGCTCAATAAATTATTGCATTTTAATTTAACATGATTACAAGGAACATAATCATGTAATTGAAGAAGTTTGTGTGTCAATATATCATTGTAGAATCTCGCTATTAAGGAGCTCCCAATATTCTCAGGCACAAATTTCTCCGAGAAAAGTCCTATAACATTTATACAGTTAAAATCGAGACTTATGAATTTACTCATAAATGCTTTGCAAGTGGAAACCGATCCTCAAAATACGCATATGCTGTTGGGTAAGTTAACAAAATCAAATGATTGATGTCGATAGGGATTACTGTTGATTCGATTCTCGTTTTTGTAATGTATATTTTTGATTGATTATCGATATATTATTCATCTAATAATAGTCAATAAAAAATTCTTATTTCTCGATCAAAGTTAATTTTCTGTGAAATTAAGATTAACATTGTCTTAAAAAATAAACATATTGAGCTTATTAATAAATAGAATTTGATTTTGAATAGATATAAATAAAATTGTCATATAAATAATTTTTTCTAGGAGCTTTGTTATTGAGTGTACAAGATTCCGCGGCAGCAGAAGAAGTAGAGCAAGTTACGCAACCTGATACGATAGCTAGTGATTCAAGCACTAATTTATTATCTTCAGGTTTGTTCTTTATATTAAATAATGCTAGTTTGCGTTCGGCTAAATGCATTATCTTGAGTTACTTAGTAACTCTTATCTGTGTGAATTTTATAAGTAATTTTATGATCATAGGCACTTTTTTAAAATATATAGCAAAGCAATGTAAAAGAAAAACATTTTATTGCTATTTTATTACGAAAATAAGATTTAACACATCTTTATTTATAAAAAATATTAAAAGCTAGGACTTGGTTAGAGTTATGGATGTGTGCGTGCGAAAGATAATGTGTGGACAAAGCGGTGAATATTTTGTGGATATAGAGGAATAGTAAGGCTTAGTAGGCTAGTAAGGAAGAGAGATTAAGGCGAATAAAAGTTGAGTGAGTGAAGGTAGAGAGGAATAAAAAAGTATAAGCGAGAAATAAGAAAGTTTAGGACAGGTACAAGAAAGAGTTATGGCGGAAAAAGAGGCGGGTAAAATAGGAAGCATAAGTAGAATAGGAAATTAAAGGAAGGAAAAAATAGTTAAAAATAGTGTTAGAGGAAAAGGAAAAAAGAGGAAGTAAAAGAGTGAAATTTAGAGTAAGATATGAGAGAAAAGACAAGGATTAGATCGAGATGTGGAAAAAAGAATTACGCGAACAGTTAGAGAGAGAGATTACAAAATAGAAGAGGATAGAAAGATGTTCAGGGAATATCTAGAGGAGATAAGGACAAAGAAAATTAGGAACATAGAGGATAAGTTAGAGGCGTTAGAGATCGAAAGGGCAGTGGAAGAATAAGAAGGATCTGAGGTGTGAAAGGGAGATTAGCGAACGAAGCGAGGTAAGATAGAAAGAGAGGCAGAGAATAATAAGTAGGATAGGAGACAGAAAGGAAATGAACTGTAAGTAATCAAGAAAAAGAGAGAAGATATTGTAAGGGTTAAGATATTGTACACTGTAAGATTATTATTGGAGGATAAGATTGATTGATTGATTGATTGTAAAATTGTAAGAGCATAGGATTATAAAATAGGAGAATAGAAGTTTAGATCCAGAAGACCTAGAAGATGGAGATGAGAGAAGAGCATAAAGCAAGAAGAAGGAGAGGAGAAGAGAGGAACAGGCCAAAAACAGAGGAGAGGAAACCTTTTCAATGAGGCAAAATAGAACAGGAAAGGTAATCAAAAAATAAGAAAAAAAAGGAAAGAAGAAAGTTTAAGCAGCAGACAAGAAGTAAGAGAAGGAAAAGGAAGACAGAAGGGAAGTAGGAAAACGAAGGAATAAACGGAGAGAATAATATAAGGTAATAGTAGGAAAGAAGATAAAATATGAAAAGACACAGTGGGTTGGCGAAATAGGAAAGATGCAAGGAAAAAGAAAAAAAGGAAAATCTGAAGGAGAAGGAGATGGAAGAGGAAAGGAAGGAAGGAAGACACTGGTTGATAAAATAGGAAAGACATAGAAAAAAGAAATGTAGGAGGACTTATAGGAGAAGAGGAAAGAAAAAGTTAAGGGAAGAGAGATAAAAGAAGGAAAAACAGAGGAAGAATTAAATAGGAGAAACAAAAGGAGAAAGAAAAAGTAAAAGAGGAATAGGAGACGAAGATGTAAAGGAGAGAGAAGAATTCTGGTACAAGGAAATTAACTAGAAGTTAAGGAGAGGAAGTAGAACAAGAAAAGGAAATAAAGGAAAGAGAAGGAACGCTGCATGGAGGACTGTGAGGAAAGAGAGCAGAGGTAGGAAGAAGTTTAGAGTGGAGTACAAGAGCAGAGAAACAAGGAGAGAACAAAGGCAACGGAAGGAAGCGAGGATGGAGAAGACAAAGAAGATAGAGGGCAGGATAGAGGTTACAGAGTAATAGATATAAAGCAGAATAGAGAGGAGCAGAATATGTGAGAATAGGGCGATTGAGTTAGTAATATAATTAGCTGTGATAGGATAGCCTGGGAAAAGTTGTAGGTGTTAATTATTAAAATAAGTTTCATTTTTGAGAGGTATGTACATAGTAGTACTGCGAAGGATGAATAGATGAATGGGTTAGATAGACTGATTGTAAACTAAGTTCTCTTTAGCTTGTATGCTAGAAATGTAATAAATTTCTATTCTATATTAAAAGCTAATGAAGATCAATTTTTAAATGTAGAATACTAATTCTAAAATAATAATTTATAATAAATAATTTTGTTTAAAAAAATTTATCACAATATAATAAAATTGTTTTATGATGTATAACGCCTATGATCATAGTTTCTCTCTGATTCCGAGTAAGATAGCAATATCCCGGTATATTGCTACTTTATTTAATACACAATGACTTTATTAATATCTATCAATAGCTTATGAATAGGAGTAAATATCAGTATGACGCAAATATTCGAATTACAATGCTTAATGCTCACCTCTCATTGTATCAGCTTTACACGTGCTTGTATATGAAATGTTAATTTTTTCTTGTTATTTCGAGTTGTGTTCTGTTGTGCATTCGCCATTGTATCGTCTTATCATCGCTTAATATAGTCACCAGCGATTCGGCCAGTCAAATAAGTATATCCAGTGATCAGCGATCAATTGGCGATGCCTCTGACATTGCAACCCTTCAAGAGGAATGCATTGCATTTGGTAAATACAAATATTGTTCATCTTGCTACATACGCTCAGAAAGATCGCGTTCGAGAATATTTTAGAGTGCAAGTTTCATTTCTGCTTGTCGTTTATGTTTTTTATCCTCATGTTCAAAGTTCTTAAAAAGAGATGTTTTTACTCTTTCTCTGCTCCCTTTTCTCTTTCTCTTTCTTTGTATATACATATATATAATATTTAAGAGATTTATTATATATAAATATATTATCCATAACTCATATTTGTACAAAACAGATCTGTAATGTTATTTTTTATAAATGTAAGAACTAAACAAGAGGGATTTTTTTGCAGATTCTGCCCATGCTCTTTTTGTACGAGCGACGTATTTGGTGTGTCATCGTCTCATTTCGTCATGGAAAACTGATTTAAATATTTCTCTAGCAGCACTCGAGATGTTGTCAGGATTAGCACGCACACGTATTCGTGAAACAGGTAGCAAGATTAATGCAGATTTAATCGCGTCTCTGCGAGAATTTTAATTGTGTGTGTGTGTGTGTGTGTGTGTGTGTGTGTGTGTGTGTGTGTTTTATATTACATGTAAGAAATATAGATACTTATCTTCATCTTATTTCAAATAATTCTGCATGCAGCAAGGAAACTCACAGGTTCGAGTTATCATTGTCGAATATCAGATTCAACATTGAACGTTCTCAAAAAAAAAGCGCATCGAAACGTTGTGTTTGTTGCAGATGCTCTGGAATGCAAGAGAGCGGTAAAATGGTTGTGCGACTATATTTCGTATCAATGTTGGCGCCCACCTCCGGCGCACTCTAAGGATCTTCACTCCTCTATAGTCGCGGCATTCAATTGTTTAACAACTTGGCTAACTGCTCATCCGCAATTATTACAGGTTGACGATTTCTTTTATGATGATTTATAAAATTATCTCACTTGAAATTCTATATGCACCAAAACTCTATATACATTTTTTTATTGAAGGACAAAGATTGCTTGACCACAGTATTAGAAGTTGTTGAACTCGGAGTGTCTGGTACTAAGAGCGTCGGGAAACCGGGAGAACCTATCAAAATGAAAGATGAGAAAGAATTAAAACCCGCATCTATGCGTGTAAGAGATGCCGCCGATGCGCTTCTTACTATTCTATTGGAACAGGTTTGTATGAGCTAATAAGAAGACACACAAGCGGCGATCTAAGTTTAAAAAAGAAGAAATTAAAAATTAAAACTTATGTTTTTTTGCTAAATGACACATATACGTACAAGATTTTTTAAATATTTTAACAGTTTTTTTTGTCACAGTCCAACATTAAAAAAATACTTTTTCTTAATTTTGTTAAATTTATAATTGTACTTCTTAGGTTGGTTATTTTCCAAGCGCCTGTGGGGCACAATCGCTCTCGTCATTGTTGGATGAAGTATCTCTGCTTCGACACTGCAACAGTTGGACTGGCGGACGCGTGGCACGACAAGCAGCTGTTGAAAGATTTCGTTACTTCGTATCAGAAAATGCGATTGTGTTAGCGTTGTTAGAAGAACCATTAGGAAATGATCAGGATCCTCAGCCGACTGTGACGGTTTTGATTCGCGGACCTTTCGGTAGGCACGCATGGACGATGCAGCTTCGTCATTTACCTCGTCATCGATCCAGCATCAGAAGTATAAACAACAACCCCGGACGACCCCTGCCATTAGCTGAAGCTGCGCCACGAACAGATTATAAGCCGAGATTTTTTCCAGATAATGTAGATCGCATACCTCACTGTAAAGTGTAAGTAAATATCTAGCAGATCTTAATCAAATTTCGAGTTTCTTTATTTAATTATATTTAATTTAAAGTTCTATCTGAATGCTACTTAAATAATTAAAATCAAATAGTATAAATTAGGATATATTTTTATAATACAAAAATTTAATTGTAGGCAAAATTTTAATTGTACATGATATTTGAAACGTTTTTGGCTTTTTGAATCAATTACATAATTAAATTTGAATCTAAAATTTGGAATCCAATCTGAGTGGCATTTAATGTGATATTTAATTCTATAATTTTCATAATAGGGATGAATCGATACCTAGTCTCGAGGCAGTTATGAGTGACAATGATGCGGTACGAGATGAACATCAAATCCTCGCGCAACTCTTGGAACGTCAGATAACGCTCGAGTCAAAATACGACAACGGTAATATCAAAATTACGGAAGATAAAACCGACGAATGCGTACCGCCCCAGATTTGTCACGAATTTCAAACGGCCCGTTTATTTCTGAGTCATTTTGGTTTCCTAAATATGGAACCTAAAGAAAACGAAGAATCCAGAAATAGCGGATTAATCGCTTTAGATCCGACCATCCCTGGATTCTGTACAGACTTAGAAACCCTGGACAATATCAGTCCACGAACGTGCGACACCGTTCATATTTTTTACGTAAAAGCCGGTCAAAAGTCTGCCGTAGAAATATTATCAAACGTGGTAAGATATCGATTTTTCATTGTAATTTAAAATATATACTATCATCATGAATCATTAAAAATGTGTGAATTTTGTTTAAGGAAATATAACACCATACATTTATATTTACAGCTTCACGAAGAGAACATATCACCGAACTTCTTGGAATTTTTAAATTCTCTTGGTTGGCCCGTTTCTGTATCTGCTCATGCGGGCTGGACGGGTCATGTATCCACCTCATGGAGAGTAACAGCGCAAATGAATGTGCCACAGCCAGCTCACAGCAATCATGGCGGAGCGCTTTACAATGGTGATACTCATGTGCTGTATTGGGCGGACGTAAGTTCAGAGATTGCATTTGTTGTGCCTACACAATCGTATCTAATGGCCAGTTCCGATTCACTAGAGGAATCCAGTTACAACAATGATATTAGCACCGGTGGTCAAGGTAAACTTTGACAACAAAAACATTAAAATGTAGATTTTATACAATTCTCTTTTTATTTAATCTTTTTTTAATATATTATAATTATAAGAAATATTGTTTTCTTTTCAAAAGCATATTTACATATTTTATTGCTTACATATTCTATTGCAGCATGGTTTGAGCGGAGCATCAGTGAAAGCACGGATACTCGCAGCAGTGGGACATCACAGAATACAACGCAGGCTTCTAGAGCCATGTCGCTCGATCTAGAGAAACAACCGTCGAGCTTGCCAGGTCCGACAAATTCCTCGAGTGCGGATCCCATTAAGCCTAGGAGAACAACGAAGCAGGCTTTACCGGCTCAAACTAATACAAAGATTATGGTTGTATGGTTGGAAAGTTTGGAGGATCATATCCAATTTCCAATTGGTTCGTTCACTCTTGTTTCAATGAGCAAAACGCAATAAAATATATGTTATTGTCAGGCGATTATTATCATCTTGCATATATATTTTCTCACCTTAAACTAAATGTTCTCATTGAATTATCTAGGCGATCTGCTTCCTTCCACTTATACTGGATTGGAACAATCGAGGATGCTACAGGCTACTGATGTGCATGTTATCTTTCTTCAAGCTCTTGCTAATGGATTGATGCGGATCCGATTACAGGGACCGATTTCTAGAATTAATTTAGCAACGCCTTTAATCGATGGTATGGTAGTGTCAAGAAGAGTTTTGGGAACTTTAGTCAGACAAACTGCTCTTAATATGGGACGCAGAAAAAGGCTAGATAACGACAGGTGATAAAATTAATAATGAGAAAGAATGTATATTACACTTCTATATTCTGATTAAATATTTTGCATGTTTTTATTGAAATTTTATATTCACTGATTCTTTTGTATTCTGGATACAATGTGTAAATGTATATATTTATGTTTTAGTTACCATCCACCGCATGTACGAAGACGTTTAAAAATTCAAGAGATGGTGCAAAAATATAAAAGAAATTTGACAGATCCAGAATTGCTAACGCTTTTATTCAGTAGCACTCAAACGTATCAAGTTAAATAGAAATTTTCAAGAATCTCATATGAGTTCAAATTCTGGATAACAATAGTCTAACTTCTTTGCTGCTGTATTAAAGAACAATTAATTTTTTAAATTGACTGAATCTTATAATTGCACTTCATGTCATACTAAATGAAGAAAAAGATATTTTCTATGAAAATAATTGAGGGAAGATAACATTTTCTTTAAAAATGTAAATAAAACGTTTTTGCAAATTTTATTTAAACATTTTTAGTAAATTGATCATCTTTAATCTAAAGACATATATCGCGATAGTTCTTTGCTTAAAATAGATCATTTTTTAAATTTTATTTATATTACTTAACACTTTTTGTTGATAAAATTATGAATAAATATAAAACATTGAGATTCAGAAAATATAAATATAAATAACTTTCAAATTACACAGAAAAAAAGTTAAAAAGTTATAAAAAGTTAAAAAAAGCTACATAAAAATATTGAAATACATCTGAATAATAAAAGATAAAATTATAAAACAATAACTAAAAGAATGTTGGTAATATTATGCTTTATAAATTCAAAATAAAATGTTTGAAAAATTAAGGAAAAAAAAATAATTTGGAGAAAAACTTATTTATATTTTCATTGTAATCGTCCTTAGCAATTTATAGATTTCTATTTTTCAAACTATTTTGTATACAAAATATATAAAAATTAGAATTCGTTACACATTTTAAAGAATTTCAATATAATATTTTCTAAAATAATTTTTACAATAATTTCTCGGTGATTCTATGCATAATTTTTGAAATTAATTATTTTAAAAATAGTACAGCATTGCATTTAATTATCAAACTTTAATATATATACTACTTATAAAATTTTATAGGTAAAATTTTATGTATTATTACAAAATTA